ATGGATGGATGGATGCTGACAATAGCAAAATAGAAAGACATTTGAAATCAAGCATCATTGCAGTTTGATGCAGCTGAGACCTGTCCAGGGTGTCCCCTGCCTTCGCCCTGAGTCAGCTGAGACAGACTCCAGCCCCCCCGCAGCCCTATAGAGGATAAAGCGATGTATAGATAATGGATGGATGGTTTCTGTACTTTCACCTAAGTTTAAATTCAGGACTTTAACCTGTAATGGAGTATTTGTACAGTGTGGCATTGGTGCTTTGTTTGTGACATTAAACTCAACACTCTACATCCACATGCTTTAGACACACGAGAATAACTGTTTCCATGTATTGCATCAGTGAAACCTGCGTAACAGTCTCCAGCTCACTTGTCTAATAGCGTGAGTGTATGGTCTGAGGTTGCATGGTGGTTATAGTGACATTTGCTCTTCAAGGGATGAAGTGTGATACAATTTTTGAGTGAAAGCTGCGCTATGACCTGAATACCAGTGCCTCCAGCCTTGCATGTTAATACCCACAAACATTTCCTGGAAACCCCCAGAGAATATGAAAGTCGTGCAGATCTACTGCCGGTACTGGGCAGGGAGAGTGTTTTTGCTGTTGCAGCTTAAATCAATATATTGTGATGTTGACAGCGTTGTTAGAAGTGACTGTGTGACATGTTACCTACATGAAATGAAATGAAATGAAAAATACTTTATTTATCCCAGAAGGGAAATTCAATACATGATTCTTTTAAAAAAAATTTGCAACTCTTAAGGTTACAGTAGAAGAGTGGTTGTTAGTAGGCAGTTTTCTAATTACACATTACAAGTCCAGCCATAAAAAAAAAAAACAAGCAAACTGAAACCCCCTCAGAATCAGCAGATTTTTAGAACTATATTTAATGAAGCCAAGCAAAAATGTACCTTCACACTGTGAATATTGTCAAAGTACAGGAGATAGGCATGTGAAATTATCTGGGATAAAAAAAAAACATTGTGTCAAATACATTTTCTAATGTAGTCATATTTAAACCTGAGGCAGGAGGCTTCAGTTTATCAGGACCAGAACCTCACACCACAGGCACAGCTTCCTCCCAACAGCAGCTGGCTTCACTAACAAGACCCAAGACAACACACTCCCTGTGTGCCTGATGACAGGTATCGGAGGCAGCTGCAGCAATCAGCTCAACTGTCTACAATCACCTTCAGCTCCTTTAAAAACCTCAGTTCATTCCTCCGCACACTGCCAGACCATAGACTTTGAAACCCCATTTCTCTGATGGTCCCCAAGCGGTTTCCTGCCTGCCGTCTCTGAGCCACTGTGACCTGAATAGGGTTAATTGCTGACTTAATAGGAGCTACAGGAACATGGGTGTTTTTTAGGTAAACAGTAATGACCTTGAATAGTCTTACAGAATACTACTGATTGACATCCTTTTGTTTTTTCTTGTTTCGGTTCTTCTCGTGGCTGACTTCTTAAATGTGTTTCGTTTTAGTCATAGAGTGTACATACTACATTTTACTCTTAACCTCATGAGGAGTAGCAGCTGTTCCTGGGAGATATGACTGTGTAGAGCAACAGTCATCCAAGTCACAGTACTTCAGTAGAAGGGAACTGGACTTGTTTATTTCCTTTTTGAAGACACACACTCCACTGAGTACACTCTGATTGCTGGCTTTATTAGCCTACTTGAATTATAAATCAATATACAAAGTGAGTATTTGGAGCATATTAAATCATTTGAACCTAATTTTACACTGAAATGATTGGGAGCAGAGCAGCTGCACATATTCACATGATTTCTGAAAGCAGAGCTACATTACAGTTTTTCTCAATTGTTTACACACATTTCCTGAGAGAATGCTTCATACTCTCAGCGCTCTGTGAGACAGGTGGTTTCCCATGTGATGAGTCAGTGTGCGTAGTAGGGCAATTACCTTCAGAGTTTCGAATGACTCCTTGTGAAAACAAGACATTTTCTTCATGAAAGCAGAGAATTGTGTTGTGTTTTAAAAAGTGTTTTAGAACTGCACTTTGAGTGTAAAGCAGGAAATGTGCTTGTGGTTTAGCAGAATGGGTTCAGGCGGTTGGTGCATGAGTTATATGTTGTGGTCATTGTGTCATAACTACCAGGATTAGTGTGTAAACAGTTAAGAAAAACTGTAACTTGTGTCCAACACAACACGTATTGAGGAATATAATGAACTGCTGTTTTTAGGTGGGTGCTGCAAGGTAGAGCGGTGGTTAGTACCGTTGCCTCATAACAAGAAGGTCACTGGTTCATGTCCCGGTGAGGGCACCCGAGATTTTTCGGCGTGGAGTTTGCATGTTCTCCCCGTACAGCGTGGGTCCTCTCTGGGTTCTCCGGCTTCCTCCCACACAGTCCAAAAACATGTTGAGGTTAATTGGTGATTCTAAATTGTCCATAGGTGTGAGTGTGCTTGGTTGTCTGTCTCTAAGTGTGGCCCTGTGATAGACTGATGACCTGTCCAGAGTGTCCCCTGCCTTCACCCTGAGTCAGCTGGGATAGACTCCAGCCCCCCAATGACCCGAGTGAGGATTAAGCAGTGTATAGATAGATGGATGGATGGATGGATGGACATTGTGAGAATCTGCAGCTGATGTCTGAGCAGTTCCATGGCACAAGATGCTCCATCAGGACAATGTGTCTGCTCACACTGTGCTGAAAACACAAGTTTTTTGGCAGCAACATCACAATCGTCGCTGCACCCTTCCTACTCACCAGATTGAACTCCTTCTTCCTTTTCCCCAAAACAACAAGTTCAAGATGATGGGTTGCCATTTGGACACAGTTTAGTAGATTCAGTTCATTGCAGATGGTACTTTACATGAACAGGACTTCAAAGGAGTATTACAAGCATTGCAGAAGCACCGGGAGCAGAGAATTACTGCACAAGGAGACAACTTCACTGAGGATTTAAATCAGGTACGATCTTTGTTTTTTTAAAGATGCTATTGTGGAAATTTTTGATCACACCTTATATAAAGACAACCAAACCAAGCAGGTGTGCAGATGCACATTGTAACTAGCGGAACTTCTTAGTGAATGTCTGTGTGTGAATTTTTTAAAAAAAGCAAATAAAACATGTTCAGAACAGGATTCGAGTTTATTTCCTAAGAAATTATTGAAAGTGTTAAATGCAGTGGAGTCTCAATGCACCCAAAACTGGCAGCATTCCCGAAAAAACTAGAATAACACTGAGCGTTTCTATACAAATGTAACCTGGACAGAAAGAGGAGGAGCTGATTAAACAGTTTGTGGTAACAGTGGTGTTGTACCTGAAAACTGAGACCTATTTAAACTACATCCTGGAGTTAAACTCTACCTAAGCAGTCATATATTAATACACAGTTCTTAACATGGTCAAATCCCCCCACACTCAAAACATTTCTCTCAATCAGTTTAAGAAGCACAAAGTCATGACGATCTTTTTACATTCAGTCTTTTGATACCGTAGAAATGAACTTTTTTACAACGTAATATAAGTAAACAGCTGAAAAATATTTACTCAAAATCACATTGTCAAAAAAATGTTTTGTTTTTTTTTAAATTCCTGGAATACGGCAATATGCTCGAGAGTGATAACACTGAACGAATCAACACACAAACAGACAAATGGTGCAAATGTAACAAAGCTGATGCAGAGAAGACTGTTTAACAACCCGACTGCTGCTTAAAGGATCCGTCCGCCGTTTAAGCTGCTGTATTTGCCATTCATGTGGCTCTATGGGTCACGCAACTTTGCACTGTCAGGGTGCATCGTCACTTCTAGAATGCACCGAGTGAATGCAAAATCTGTATCAAAAAGTTATTCAGTACTCTGATGGACACTCAAGCTGGGTGGAAACAAAAATTAAATGAGGTGTAGAGTGCAAAGTCACCTTTATCCATAAAGACACATGAATGGGAAACACACCAAGCTGAAATAAAGCAGAATTATCCTTTAAAGTTAAGGTTTGGATTCTTTTTAAGTCTACCTTAATACAATACTCCTTCTCTTCACGCTGGCTTCAACAATTAATCAATTCGCTGTGAACTATTAAATCTCCATCACCAACTATTCAGATATGATGAATGACGAATCAGTTTGAGTAAATATTTAAGGAAAAAAAGTCTAAATGTTGTGATTGCAGCTTCCTAAATGTGAATATTTTGTGGTTTCTTCCCTCTAGGACTTTGAAAAACACTGACATACATTTTTGACATTTTATAGACCAAACAACTGATTAATTAAACCAGAAAATAATTATCAGATTAGTTGACAATGACAATACACATTTGTTGCAGAGCCACAGACCATCTGCCTCGACTACGCTGTAAGACGAATACATTTAATATGAGAGTATAAAATCCACAGTTCTCTTGTTCTGTGCAAAACTCTTACAGGTAGGCAGACGCACAAAACTCTGTGCATGTATTGTGTTAGGAGTGAATTATATGCTGGCCTGAAGAAAGACCGGTAGTGCTGATACTTGAATCGCAGGTCCGTGAGTATAGAGATGCAGCTCTTTGTTTGACGGCCAAACTAGCTACTCGGTATACAAATGAGTTATGTGGTGACACAGATAAAAAGAAACGAAAGACTTCAGATGGAGAGATTCAGGCAGATGAGGAGCAGTGCTCTCCTTTTGGTTGAGCTTTGCTACCTTTTACATGCACAAAAAGCAGCTCCAGAACACACTGAAGGAGAAGAGAGAGAACCTCGAAGGGAGAAGATGGGCTCTTCAGTGGAAAAGGGTCAGTGACAGACCCTGATTGGTCAATCAATTCATATTTCTTCAACAAAATGCAACCTGCATTTTCTTTTGTTTTGTGTACACAGCACACAGCAGTGAAGTGAAGTCATACCACTGATTTAACACGTTTGTTTATTGCTGTGGTATCTCAGTCATCATTATTGAAATGTCAGAAAGATGCTAAGTGATCTGTTTACAGTGTAGCATTCATATTTAAACGGACTTTGCAACGCTAAGGATCGTTTTTTTTTGGTTTTTTTTTTAAATAACCAACAGGGAAAGATGGATTAATCCCAGCAGCAAATAGGCTGATATAGATGGGAATATGGACGCGCATGTTTCGACGGCATCTCCAGTGTTGCATGAGGTTATTCAGATGAAAAGCGTCACTTAAAATTGAGAAGCAAATAATAAAAGCAGAAGTGGGTTCAGACCAGGAGAAAGTAGGGTTTAAACACTGTTTAGCATCTACAAGCGGCTCACATGCACCATAAAACTAAATGTTTTCAATTTCCTCATCTCCAGGCAGCACAACACATCGCTGATATCAGCTGCCATGAAAGTATAATTACAGGCCCAAGATTTTTGTCTCATATATGGACAAAGCTTTGTTTGTTTGTTATCAAGGTTTTTTTTTTTTGTTTTGTTTCTAGCTTCTTCTGTTTATTGTAGCCATGTAGCTGACAACAGCACCTTAAAAGTTACTCAGATGAAACAAAAGATAAAACCATGGCATGAATGTCAGATCGTCGGTTTCAGAAAGTTACACTGCGACACAGACACCCCATAATCTGACAAGAGAAAAGTGCGGGAAGAGATTGTTTTCAGTCTTTTCTAAGCATTCAACAAGTAGCTTGTGTAGACCCAGAATGCAGCTTCAGACTGAGGGGAAACACAGGTCGGTAGGGAAGCCTACTTTGACGTAACACTGACTACCAACTTCATTTGGCAAACTAAGACTGTTGGGGCTCATATTCCAGCCAAACTGCATGTGGGACCCCCGAACAACGCCTTGAATCCCCTTTGTGATGCCATGTTTTTGCAGGTCTTCATAAATCTCTAGCGCAGCTTTCTGGGAAAGAGGATCCAAAAGTGATAACTCTGTACCTTAACCATTGTCTCCTGGGAGTGTGATGTGGTTTGTCCTCACGTTCACTTGCATTTTTGCACAGAACAAGGACTGTAGATATTATTTAATCCCACACGTTTTACAGTGTAGTAGGACAGAATGAACTAATCAACCTTCATTTGGCTTCATGTGACTGTTTCATTAAGATAGACTTGAAACAATCCAACCCTTTCCGTTAAAACACTGGTTTTGTTTGTCTTGTCCTTTTCCTATGAATATCAGGGAACACGGGTTATTCAGAGGCCTGACATTTTTGACATTTTCCACATGTTTACACACATGCAATAATGACTGACAGATGCCTGAAATGCACATAAGACTATACCATATGAGTAATAGAGTGAAGACTGGATTCTTGCTGATATGTACTAGTGAAATATCATTGCATGTTATACTCACACACCAATTCATAGGCAAAACAAACAGACGTGAACATGCAGAGGAATGTTAAAACAACTCCAACATGACTGACAAGGTACTTTAGGGTCGAGCTCTGAATCTCCTCAGACACACGTGAATGTTTAACTACTGAATCTGACCACATTTTACAGTTAATCTGACTTCCAGTTGCACTGTTTGAGTTACACAGATCAGATCTGTAGAGCCCTCTACTGGACCACAGATTCACTGCCGTGTTACATGCTTAGATAATTGTGATAATATTCTTTCCATATCATTGTCAAGCAAATTTAAAGCCAACATTTCCTAATGCGATACTTCAAAGTGTGCATAAAAATATGTCATGGAAACACAGCTCGCGAGTGTCTCGGTAGATACATCCTGGTGTTAAAGCTGCTTGGGAGGACAGTGGTGGCCAAATTAGCTTTCATAAAATATTTACATAGTCAAACAGGGAGTCAAACCACTATCTAGCTTCACAAAAATGAAAATAAGCCACTATGCCCAGTAGCTGTGTTTCTGTAACGTATTTTTATTTGCATTTTGAAGTGCAAGGTGTCGCTTTAGAAGAAGTTTATGGGAACTGCAACATTTGAAAAAACTTCTAATTGCTTCCCAAAAACAGTTTTTGATGCTCACTTAATTTTCTTTTTCTAAAACAAGATAATGAGCTGGAGATGGAAACACATTTTTCTGAATAAGTTCTGATGCAGTGAACATTTAAGTCACACCACTGTCTTGCATGACACCATGAAACATGAAAGAATCAATGCACCTTTCCAAAAGTAATTCCTGAAGGAGAGTTTTTGCTTTTTTACTCTTCACTGAATGAAAAGGTCTCATAATTCTTCCCAATGGCTGAACGTAAGAAAAAGGCTGCATTCCAAATTGCATACTTTATCCCTTTGCTTTCAGTTCACACTACAGCTGTCTTCACAGAGTACGTCCTGTTTCATGCAGTATGGATAAAATTGTGACATACTACTTTGTCAATATATTGCGCCTTAAACTTTAACCATCACATTGTGAAATGACCTGTCATCTCGAGGTGTTGACCTCAGCTAAATGCTTGCTTAAAACTGACACTGTGACATACTGTATGTCACGTAACTGTGCAGAGGATTGTGGGTCATAATGGCCAGAAAATATGCTGGCTTGCACACAGCAAAATGTGACCAAATGTTGTAGGATATTTAGGTATTTTGGATGTATTGCATTTTACATACTATTTGTTGGGACAAACTAAATTTGATCATGGCATATTATACAGTATGTTAGTATGGAAGTTGGAATGCAAACAAAGTCTGAATTTACCCAGAATTCACGTTGACCAGTCCGACTTCAAGAACAAGGCTGCTTGGTGCAGCATCTATCTGAAGTCTTACTAGTAGAGCTGCAAAAATTAATTAATCGATTAGTTGTCACCTATTAAACTATCTGCCAGTTATTTAGTTTGATTAATTAAAAAAATATCTTAAATGTGTTCTTAAATGGAACATTTTCTAGTTTCTTTTCTCCTGCAAGACAGTAACCTGAATATCTTTGTGGACAGAACAAGACATTTGTCCTCTTGACATTATTTTAGAAACCAAACATCTAATCGATTAATCAAGAAAAGAATCAACAGATTACTTCAAAGTGAAAGCAATCATTTGTTGCAGCCCTGCCAGCCAGTAAAAGGTTGTGGAAGCAGTCCCTCAGCCACTTGAAAGTCCTCTCCCTACTTGTTCTCTAACTTACAGCATCCACGCCGATCAGCCACTGATAGGTCAAAGCTAAACTTTTAGTTTTTGGCAACGCCTGTGTGTTTGACAGCAATGTGAGATGAAGGTATAAAAATCTGGACGTACCTCACATCTTTCCAAATAGCTTAATGCTTAACCCACAGTGCACAGAGTTAATGTGCAAATTTGCTTTGAACCAACTTTTTAGTGTCTTAAACGGACGGATGCTTCGGTACGCACAAGACAACACACACATAGAAATCACACATGTAGCTTTGGCACTCAGACAGGCAAAAAGTGAGGAATGGCAATGCAATGAGTTTAATACGGAAGGTCAAACCTGGAAGAAAGGCACCGCCAAATAAAAATAAAGCATATCTATATACAGTGGCAAGAAACAGCAAGTGACCCGTTAGAATGATCTGCAGTTTAAATTTGTCTTAAAGTTACAGTAAAGAACATGAAATGCTGGAATTGTATCTTATGAGCTGAAGTTCATTGTATTTGTCTATACTTGTGGTTTAGATGAATACTAGGCAACATTTTATGACAAATAAATGCAGAAAATTGGATCATTTCAATGGGTTTACATACTGTCTCTTGCCACGCTATATTTCTGTTTATTTATATTATAAATATAGTCCAAAGAGTATAAAACAACATAAAATAAGAATTCAATGGAAAGCACATGAAGGAATGGAGATGGAGATGAGAAGTGTGAGCAGAGGATCTACACAACAGACAAATAAAATCACTCTCACTCCAGTCTTGCCCAATAACTACGTTCCAGCCATAGATGATTTGTCAATAAAAACAAACTAAAATCTATACTTTGTTGCAGGGTTTTTTTTGTTGTGGTGGTGGTGTTTTTACAGCGGGCAGACAGAAACTGCACTACCCATGAGCCTCCTCTTCTGTGGAGCTCTCCTGGACTCCGCTGCCACCTGTGGGACCCGACCAATGAGAGGAGAGCTGGGGTGAGTGAGGGGTGAGTCATAAACACACACACACAGGTTTTTAAGGTGATGGAGGAGCTTTAGGGTGATGGGGAGGGGCTATATTAAAGTGACATAAGGTGATAGACGTCTTTAAGGTGATAGAGGGGCTATATTAAGGTGGTAGAGGGGCTTTCGGGTGATCTTCTATGTATTCTGACAGACATTTGAGGTCCTCTGCTCTGACATTAAAATTAACAGTTCTCCACAGCCTGAACTGACATCCTCAGATTGATTGCCTTTCATCGACTAGCCCAAAAATATTTATTTTATGCGGCTAAAATAACGAGCAGACTCGCCATTCTTTCAATTAGCAAGAGAGCAAAAGCTGAAAGTGCGTTAATAAAAAGCGATTGGACATCTCGTAGATTCTTGGAGATGTTTTATCTCTCATCCAACTCATCTGATGGGGAGTTGCAGGTATTTATTCTCACCCCAAATTACATGAATTTAAGTGTGAATGTAGTGAAACCTTGTGAGGAGAAATCTCAAGACTGCATTATAAGTACCTAATGAGTGGTGTCTCTGTTTACCCATCAACGCTCCAGTTTACCATAGATGCTTCCTTCACTCCTCTCTCAAACAAGTCTATCCCATCCTACATTAAGAAAGCGTTAAATATGCAGAAGTCATCAACAAGATGTGGGTAAAAAAACAGCACATCAAGCGAGAATTAAAGAAGAACAAGTGGGACAACATTGCCATCCCGTATTTAGCTGATGTGCCAGAGAATATCTTTCAAAACACAACATCCCGGCACACTTCAGACCCAGCAACACTCTGAGAAAAAAGCTGGTTCAAACACAGGGTCGTCAAACTAGTTGTATATGCACCATGTCCACAGGACAAGACTCTGTTGTCTACCAGAATTTAAAGAATAAGGGACACTCCTTTGAGGACAGCATTGTGGAGATGGTCAGAGAGAGGAGTGAAGGAAGCCATCTATGTTCACATGGGACAGCACCTCTACATAGAGCAGACCACTCGTTTGGAACTTACAGTGCAGTCCTGAGATCCCTCTGCAAACACTTTCACACCCTGAGTCTTGTGAATTGGAGGTATAATAAAAACTGAAACTCTCCAACAGTCACTTAGAACGGAGGATTTGAAGTGAAACGCCTTGGAAAGTCCAGTGACCTTCTACTGCAGCACTTAGGATTACCGTGACCTAACCGAGAATCTACACAGGCTTTAATGAGCTCTGTCAGGGTAATTCCAGTTTAGTTCAGTCTGCTGTGTTTCCTATTCATGCAGCTACTGTGCCTCTATGGTTTACATGAAGTTTGCATACTCCTCCCTCATTATATAGCTTGACAAAAATAAGAAGTCACACAGTGATTTTCGCATGAATCACTTGTTTTTCAGCCTGACTGACAGAGAACAGCCACATTTACGATGGAGGAGTTAGCATGAAGCAAAAAGACACAATAGTCACATTAATGGGAAACAATGCAGGTTAAAATAATGCAGAATAATCTTTTAAGATGAACCTATGAACCTCAAATATGGATGCCAGAGCACATAATTCATCACATTCTTTGCGTTTGTTGTTGTGTAACATTACAGCGACACACAGATTGCTGTCATTTCTTTGTTTTTGTGCGAGTGAGATGATTTCAGGCAATAGCAAAAACAAGAATAAAGAAACAGAAAAACTTAGCACCCACAAAAACCACATCCTAAAAAAAAAATGTGTCTTGTGAGTCGATCAGAGAAGGTAAAGGGTCAAAACAGTCAAGGAAACAGACGTCAATCATGCCTGAGTGTGTGCTGCGTTTCATTTACCTCATGCAAAATAAACTAACAGTAGTTCTCAATGGTATCAAAGAATGAAAAGTTTACAGGAAACTCTGGGCGGGCCAGAGAAGAGAGGAGACACGGAGGCACGCAAGGAGGAAAAAGAAAGAGAAAGAGAAAATTAATTTGGTTCAGCTGAAAGCAAAGAGAAAAGCACATTCCTAATAACACTACAAAGTTAGTTTGGAGGTCGGCGGGGCGGCAGACCCGGCAGGTCGGACAGCGTTTAGCACAAACTTACCTTGTGTGGTGTTTCTGTCGTTGAGCAGCTTGGTCTGGCTGTTGGGCAGGATCTTGATCTCAGGAGGATCTGGACTCTGGCCAACGCGTGATGCCATGAGAGCGTTCAGATACTGCAGACGTGTTACCTGCAACATACCTTTGATTAATTCTCTATTTTATTGTATTAATACACTGCCTGCCCAACAAAAAAGTCACCACCTGGATTTAACTAAGCAAATAGGTAAGAGCCTCCCATCAGATAATTACTGCATGAGTGATTATGTTTCAGCTGGAAGTTATTTAACCCTAACTGATGCAGTGAGTAGCTTCTCATTTCTTAAACAACCATGTTGAAACCTGTGGTCATTGAAAAGATGTTAATCTGTTTCAGAAGGGTCAGATTATTGGCATACATCAAGCAAAGAAAACATCTACATCTATACAATCTATGGAGATTGCTGAAACTACTAAAATTGTGTTAAGAACTGTCCAACGCATTATTTAAAACTGGAAGGATAGTGGGGAAGCATCATCTTTGAGGAAGAAATGTGGTCGGAAAAAAATCTTGAATGATCATGATCGGCGATCACTTAAACGTTTGGTGAAATCAAATCGTTTAAAAACAACGGTAGAACTCAGGGCTATGTTTAATAGTGAAAGTAAGAGCATTTCCACACGCACAATGTGAAAGGAACTCAAGGGATTGGGACTAAACAGTTGTGTAGCCTTAAAAAAAACACTTATCAGTGAGGCTAATCAGGGGGGGAAAAAGGCTTCAATTTGCTAAGGAGCATAAAGATTGGACTCTGGAGCAATGGAATAAGGTCATGTGGTCTGATGTTCCAGCGTGATGGGTGCATCAGCTGACTACCAGAATATACTGAATGACCAGGTTAATCCATCAGTGGGTTTTTTCTTCCAAGATGACAATACCAGGACTCATTGTGCTCAAAATGTGAAAGAGTGGTTCAGGGAGCATGAGACACAAACATGTATTGGCCACCACAGAAAAATTGATGCTACACTGGACAGAAATAAATGTTTCTAAATGACCCTATAATGTTATCTGTTATATAAATCTTTCTGACTAATTTAAATATTAAGGTTAAAAATTTACCTGATTTAAAACTTATATATACAGTCGTGACTCCATAATCTCACCCTTAACAATCCGAAAACCTTGCTATCTGACAGGTTTTTAGGAAAAACAAACGGAACCCATGAAAAATAGCCTTAACATACTGACAGTCTTGGATTCCGACTCTGACATGACATTTTATGTCACAAATCAGGATAACGTCTTATTATCTGACTTAACGATCCGACAGATTGGCTACGTTCAGACTGCAGGACTTAATGCTCAATTTGGATTTTTTTGTGAAATCCGATTTTTTTGCAAATTCGTTCACATTTCCAATTAAATGTGACTTGTATGTGATACTTCATACGACCCAAAAGGGACCCGCATGTGTAGAAGAGGACATGTTGACGTCACACGCAGCGAGCGTGCTCAGTGTTTACAGAAGTAAACACAGATGGCAGCGGCACCGATGGTGGAAACAAAGCTGTGACCGCTATCCTAAACTAGCATCAGTAGCTAAGTACTGCCTGTGCACTCCGGCCACTTCCAGCCAGTCGGAGCGCTCCCCCGGGGTGGAAATGGTCCCCCCCGACCACGCCAAATATTCGGATATTCATCATTAATTGGGCCTCAATATCCAGAGACCAGAAAGTGTTATTCGGACCAGCCCTACTAATTATTATAACAACTATGAACAATAATTAACAACAAATGACCCTTCAAGCATCAAGCCCTCCTTGTATCTCGACCTCCGCCTTGACAATCCGACAGTCTTGCTATCCGACATAAAAGAAGGTTTTACATTTAGTGTTGGGTTATCGAGTCACGACATTGTCAACTTCACAGTTTCTGTAGTTCCTGCTCTCTGACTCTGTAAGTCTAGATTTTTTCTTTGCTCAAGTATTTACATTCAAGCTGTCCTATTAGCAGCTTGCCAGTCTTCTATACAGGTATTTAAATTTGTATAACCTGAACAACTAATGTACAACTGTATGTGGGCCTTTTTAGGGATGACAGCTGGGAGTGAAAACACAAACATATGAACCGACCCGTATGAGCTGCAGGTCAGTGAGAGCTCGGACGGTGTAGTCAGGACAATAGCTGGACGGGCTGGTGGCCTCTGCTGACTCGAACAGATCCCTGGGAGAGTGACGCTGGGTCGACACTGGAGACTGATGCACTGAAATTCCAAACACACAGTATCAGCACATTATCTGTAGTTCCACCGTGGGTATTCACATGTTTTTATATCACCATGCACAAGTAAATAACAGAAAATGACTCGTACCTGTGCTGATATAAGGAAATTTTCCTTTTGGTTATTTATTTATCAGGCAGAAATATCAAATATTAGCTCTCTGTAGCTTCTTAAATGTGAAGATTTGATGCTCTTTTTTGTAACACACAGTGGTTACCTATCTTCTTATTTCAAACATCAATTTTGTTTGTGGCTAATCAAAACAAGACACTGTGTTTTTAATGATGATTATGTGTCTCCTTGCAGAGGAGCTAAGTTGCCAAATGAGAAATTATTTACTTCCTAGCATCAGTTTTAGGTGACAGCAGTTGCCTGTGACGTGCTGCACAGCTGTAGCCTTCATAGGTGTAGGATACATCTGTGTTTCCTCTCACTTGGCTCCTTCAGAAGCCTCCTCTGTCCTCAAGGTGCATTTAAGTAATTGCAAGATCGTCTATGATGGATGAGGGGGAATTATTTATGGGTCACAGGAGGAAAGAGGGTGTGAAGGAGAGGTTGACATAATGGAAAGCTCCCCGTGTCTCTGTGTGTCCACCACTAATCCACTGTCAGCGAATGCAGGCCGTGTTTTCATCTGGATTCACTCACCTGAAGACGGCAGCGTCAGAGCAGACACGCCGTAGTATGTGAACGCCCCATTTTCAAACTTCAGCCCCTCTTTGCCGATCTCCACCTCCACACGACCCTGTAAACAAACAGCACGCAGGCTTTAACAAACATTTTCTGTTAAATTAACAAAATGTGAGCAATAAACCAATAACGTTTGATTTGCAGCACTGACTGCTTTTCTAGAGTTATCTACATTTTTTTCTTTCGTCACAGTAATGTGTTCATTCCTGCTGATGCATGCAAACAATCGCTGCTTCTATGAGACAACTGCTGCACCTGTTAAAACCAGTTATTTCAGTCATAATCACAGCTCAGGTCAGTGTTACTAATCTGATAAAGGTTTGAGTCCAATTGTTCTGTTTTTAAATCTATTTTGTCATTTTTATTGAATATTAATTTAGCTGCGTTAGTGTTGTTTGAACTGTTAAGAACTTTGTAACAATTATTTTAAATTTTTTGGTTCCAGTTTTTCAAACTTTCTTATTTGCTACTTTCTCTTTTTCAATATTATTTTTTTTGGTCACATCCATCTTTGAAAATAAGACTTCTACTTGGGTAAACATCCCAAAGTGATGTGCTGAGTAGATAAGATGTTATACACACTATGTGACTGTATCAGTTCAAAATCTTGCACTGTTTGCAGCCTTGCCCCAATGATTCATCTGTAAAATGTCGTTGTCCGTGACTAATTACAGGCTTCCGGTTCCGACACGGTTTACAACTCTTCAACCGTCGAAGTATAAACGTCACACTGGTTAGTGGAAGGTATTTCAGACCTTTGGGAGTGCACCATTCTTCGGGAGGGTGACTTGACAATAAACAAGCTGTTGAGTCCACAAAATAAACCTAGCCATTATCTAGCCATTTTTTTGTCCCCATTTTAACAATACACAGCAGAAGTCAAAAATTTGGGCACACCTATTTTAGGGTTTTCCTTATTTCTACTCTTTTCTAAAGAACAATCCTGCAAACAACAAAACTTTGAAATATCACACATGAATTTATTTAAGAAAATAAAACAGCTACTAAGCTTGATCCCAATAATGTATCCTGGAAACTCAGGAGGGACGACACGACTTGTCACCTACTCTTGTCCCTTTTCAGAGGCGTGACGGTGGCCACGTACCTGCAGCAGCAGGATGAAGTAGTCCACTGGGTGATTGCGGGTGTACAGGTAGTGTCCCGGGCTCAGACGGTTGCTGGGGTCAAAGTGCACCTCCTGGTTGACACTGGGGTGGCGCAGCAAGTGGAACAGCACCTTCTCAGACACTCGCACTGGGCTGAAGTGCTCCACTTCTACAGGGGCAGAGACACATGATACAGTAAACTTGCTGTATATGAGTGTAATAACTCTATTTCACAAACATCTGATTGCACTTTACTGCAGTATTTCCATTTTCTTCTGTCTTAACTCCACTGTATTTACAAAACTTATAAAATTGTATGCTTACGAGGTTTATTCTGGCATAGAACGGGTATGTAAGACGTAAGTGTGCAGTGGATTGGGGGTTAGAATGGCCAGAAAAACATGCTGGCTTGCAAATTGCAAAACGCGACTAGATGGACCTCCTGGTATTTTTGGCGTACTTCTTTGGACACACTATGCATTGGGACGCAATAAATCATGTTCTCACATACTATACTGTATAGAAGTATGGACACTGGAATGCATCCCTCGTTTGATGACATCGTGAAGTAGTGTGAGATCAGTTTGAGTTGTGGTCTTCACCACCATTGCTAATAAAAACCTCTCTGCCTGGACTCAGATTCAGAATGACTTGAAACACTTCATGGCGCATTTCCAACTGATGAAATGCTGATTTAAATACATTTGGTAGCTCTGCAGTTCTTTAACTCTCTGAACTCTGAGCAGTTTCTGGGTGTTTTTGCTCCGGTCACGTTTTTTTCTCACTGTGGGTTCATTTCTCACTTTCATGAAAACAGCAAAACCATGACGACAAGGGGTGAGAACTGAAATATGTCTTATGTGCAGTATGACAAGAGTTGAGATTCTTTGTTTTGTTTTACAAAAATTTTAAAAAACAACATTGAATCAACATTTTTACAAGTGCCCACAGGTATCACTAACACTGGAAAAAAAATAAAAAGGCTCCACATAGCATAGATATTTAACGATTTCGATGTTTAATTTGTTCCTCTCTGCATAAAGGTCAATGATTAGCCAAAAGGTGAAAATTTGAAAACATGTTTTGCTTTTGCAGTTTCCGACAGAAACTGTAAAAGCATTTCATTTTCTCTTTCTTTTTTTAGAAAATGACATGCCTGAATTTCCCCTATCGGGATCAATAAAGAATGATCTCATCTTATCTTATCTTACGCCTTTCAAACCCACAAGTTGGTTTTGAGGTTTAGAGGGTTAATAGTCAAGGAAATCTGCTCCAGTGGCTTTTAAAACCAACAGAAAAATGAAACTTATGAGCAGACATTTGTTTCCATTTCACTGAAATGAAGCACAGAAATTAGCCTATTGAACCAGACATTTTGCCAACTAAAGTAGAACTACATTTTACATTTTTATGGCAATGTAATGTTTATTTTTTTCTAAGTTCAAATGTCGTCAAGCTAGATTTGGTCAGAACTCTGCTTTAACCAAACATATAGTTGCTGTTTTCACCTTTCCAGAGCACAAAATCATTTGTGTGCTGCGGTAAACTCTGTCTAGTCTAGTTATGTGTGAGGTACAAACACAAAGAGGCCTCGCAGTAACGATTAACAGATAAATAAACACACCTCTGGATAGGAAGCGGTGCGTGGCGAGCAGCAGCTGTGGCGAAGTGCGGATCTTGGGTTCTCCCTCAGGAGGCTTGAACAGAGAAAACTCCTCGTGGACGCTGCGAGGCTCCAGAGGAATCTCCAGCGGAGCAAGGGGACGTTTAACCTTCATGTCCACTGCAGGATGAGACGGGTGTCAGCACAGATACAAGACGCTGAAGCAGCTAACGCACTAACAGACACTCACAGTAGCCGTCGGACTCGTCCAGGATCTCCGACTTGATGATCTCCTCGATGACGTCCTCTAAGGTGACCAATCCCAGCACCTCGTAGAAAGGATCCCCCTCCCCCTCGTTGTTCACTTTCTGGACGATGGCCATGTGAGAGTTGCCTGATTGAGAAGAAATGACATAATTCATCGTTAAAGGTTCAGTTTGCCTCCTAATGTAGCATCGTGGTTGGTCTGGACTTCAGGTTAAAAGGAGGCAAAGCTACTGAGCTAAAACAGTCTCCTATAATGGATGCAAATTTGAATACTTTTCTTAACTGATGGTGTGCCACAGTAACAATCGATTATCAGCTGATTGTTGAAGTGATCAGCTTTCCCATGTGCTGATGCAGCCATCTGTAAACACGGATGCTTGAACTTCATCAATCATGTGTCCAAAGAAATGCCGAACTCCAGCTGGAGGCCGTTAAACTAAACCCCCACAATGTTCTCAGCCACACAAACACAATGAAACCACCTCACCCATCTACAAAAATCTGAATTCAAACACAGCAGAACTGGAATAACGATCACAAATTGATTGACAGTCAGTTTTCACACAACAATTGTTGTCCCTCTTGGCCAGCTCTCTGCAATAGGTGACCTGTTACTCACTTTGTTATCCAATTCAGTAGGTGGTGCTGTCATAAAAAATAATGGTCCTAGAAATGCAGGTCCGTCAGCTGTGGTCGAACAGCGCAGCATCCAAGCAATGAGCTCGTTATTGATTGGCTGACTGTGGTTAAGACAATCGTTATCGGTTAAGGGAATTTTCTTAGACAATGGTCCATCATGTCACCAATCAATAATTGTATCAGAGTGATTTGAGTTGTGTGGGTAGTATTCCATGTGGTCTTCCAGTTTTACTAAGAGACATCATCTGTCTGTCGTATCATATGGTGTCCTCATTAACCACATGGTTACAGCAATGTTGTGTTAAATAACATAAGCTAGTTCTCATCACTCAACACTGGCCAGACATTAAAGGATACACAAGTCTCTGTCATGGTTGCTAGAAAAACCCAGACAATGCTCTCAGCAACATGAAGGCTAAAAACCACCTCACCCATCCACAACGATCAGAACTGAAATACAACACAACTGGAATAACAATCACAAACTATTCCCTTAACAACATTCCCGTAGTTCTTTGTGCCCGTAAACAGAGCGACTGCCTTCTCGGATCCTTAAAGTATTAAACGCCGCAACCGTGCTGCACGAGTAAGAGGCTCCACCTGGTGGCACAACCAGCTACTAACAGCTGGTCGACTATACATTTTTCGACAGGCGTGTCTATTGTCTTCTACCTAATTATTATATATAGAGAGAGAGCTTTTTTAAAAAATTGAATTATCAATGGCAATTGTTCAATTAGCTGTTAATCATTAACACCCCTGTCTCCTATGTCCACTTGGAATTAAGCATCCTCAGATCTCCACAGAAATTGGAGCAGAAAGCACTTCTTATGAATGTAGAACTTGCCGAAGAATTATCATGTTTTTACATTTTTTTCAGAATCACAATCACATCACAGAGAAGAGAGAGTTCATTCCTCATTAAAGGGCGAGTTCACCCATGAATGCAGCATCCTGGTTAGTGACATCAAAAAAAAAGGAAGCAGAGCTGCTATCAAATAATTTGGCTTACCATTAGAATTAATTTAGCAAAACGTGAACAAATAAGGCCTAATATGAGGTTAAAGATGTAGCTTACAGTGTGTAAAACAACTGCTCTGTTTAGTCTTCACATGTCACTGCATTCGTGTTTAAGGCTCTTCTAGTAGGAAGAAAGCCCTGAAGGTGAAATTCTTCCATGTGAATATTTTTCCAACAGTACCCGTCTCTGTTTTTCTCTGCACACTGGTTTTTGTGGTTCTGTGAGTCCAAATCACCATTTTGTCATCTCAAAACAGCAACAAAAAAAAAAAAAAGAACACCGGCTTAAAACCCTTTCTACACATTAAATTCTATTGAGGTTAGAGCCTTAAAAGTTGGTGAAATGACAAGTAAAGACTATTTTAATAAGGAAATATGGTTAAATCCATACATAGACGCCTACATAAACTTTCTGGGGAGTGAATACAACCCATGTTTAAAAATGTTTCACTCTATTTTTAAAGGTCAGGAATTAAAAATTTGGCTACTTGAAACAATTTTGTCTGTGTCCTCACCAAATGTCATGGCTGCTGTGTTTAATTTTCTGAAGATACTGAACTATTAAAATGGCTTCCTACCTAAGATGTTTTTTAAGTCAAAACAGAGAATTTGCCCAGTGTGTGAAAAAAATATGAAACTCTTAAAATGAAGCCAAAATGTGTTGGAGCCTGATGAACACATTTATGAAGACTAAACAAAATCTGAGACGGTGCAGCAACATGTTTCCTGAATTCAGTTTGAATTAACACGAATTGATCCCAAAGCAGCTTCACGGAATCTTGGTGGTTAGCACCGCCGCCTCGCAGCGAGAAGATCCTCGGTTCTCCGGGTTCTCCGGCTTCCTCCCACAAGTCCAAAAACATGCTGAGGTTAATTGGTGATTCTAAATAGTCCGCCGCTGTGAATGTGAGTGAGTTTGTCTCTAAGTGTAGCCCTGCGAATACACAAGCGACCTGTCCAAGGTGTCCCCTGCCTTCACCCTGAGTCAGCCCCACGACCCGAGTGAGGAATAAGCGATAAATAGATAATGCATGGATGAATAGACGATCCCCAAAGCTGACGTTAGCGCACCTTTCTTGAACTCCTCCAGCATGGCATCCAGTTTGGTGTCGTTGAAGACAAAGTGCAGCGGGTGGTTGTAGAACTTGGTGATGGTCGTCATGGGGGTGCAGTCGTCGGGGTCCACCAGAGCCAAGTCTTTCACATACAGGATTTCCACGATGTTGGACCTAGAAGAATCAGAAAAATATGATGATGACTGGTTTCAAACCATGAACAGAAACTAAACACTACCATGAACCGCACAGTGTTTTTGGATAAAGTGAACATTTTCTAACAGGTCAAAATGTGTTTTCTTTTTTAGATTTTTCAAAGTCACCTGCTGTTCTTTGATATCTGTAAACTGTTGAATTCTCGCAAGAAAGACTGACTGTGTTTGTTTACATGTGAAACAAGTTGTTCATCAACCAAAACTACATTTCATATCAAATAAATGCATCTCTCAGATTATTAGCATCTACAAAATATGTAAAGGGAGACCAAGGCTGCTGCTGCTGCTCCCACCTCTCCTCCTCGTAGATGGGCACCCGGGTGTATCCGCTCTGCATGATCTCCGACATGGTGGAGAAGTCGAGGACGGCTGAGCTGGGCAGCATGAAGCAGTCCTTCAGGGGAGTCAGGATGTCCTCCACCGTCTTGGTACGCAGCGTCCCCCGGCTGAACTCCTCCTTCACAAACTCACTGCACAACACAGGACATGGAGTCCACCATCGAGTCAATAGTCGAATAAACTGGATCGAGTTTAACTATCATCAAGTCAACAATCAAGTCAAGTTGAGTTTTTTGGACCAAGTCCAAGTCTGAGTAAATCCTCAGGTTTTCTTCTAAGTTATGTTTTTGGTGAAAGTCTGATTCTTGTCTTTGAGCCAAGTCTGTGCCAAGTCTAAAGTCTAAAGTTTTTGGACAATGTCTAAGTCAAATCTTAGAACAACGTCCAAATCACGCCGAAGAAAACCTTAAAGTCTTCTTACTAAGTCTGAGTCACATCTCTAGTCTTTTGGACTTAGTCTAAATCAAGTCTTGAGTCTTTTGGATCAAGTTCAAGCCATGTTTTAGGTCATGAAACAGCTTGTGCAATTTCCATGTCAAGTTTTTGTGTGACGTTATATCACAGACCTTTTGGACTTAGTCTAAATCAAGTCTCAAGACCATTGCATTTAAACAGTTACAAGATAAGCATGGGTTGTGTTCTAATGATTTCTATCGATATTTAAAGATACAAGATTATACAAGGTCATGTGGGGAATGGGAGTCCTTGAGACAACTGCCTACTTCTATAGAAATTTATCTTATCAAGAATATCGGAAAAAAGAAAAAAGAAAAAAATTGTGTCAAATATGTAAATTTTTTTACAAACACAGTTGTCGGATAGTTCCTTTGATATAAAGAGAAAGTGGGAATTAGAAGCGAACATCATGATTGAAGATGAGGAATGTAAAAATACATGTGAAAATGGTCAGAAAGTCACTAATAGTCTCATACGGAAAGAATTTGCTTGGATAGTTATGATAAGATTCTTTAGGACTCCCTCTATCACATTCAGTTTTGATAAAAAAAACAAATCAAATTTGTATTAGAGAAAGTGTAATCATACTGGAGATCATACACATTTTTGGGATTGTCCCATCCTGAAACTATTTTGGTGCGGGGTTCTGGGGGAAATCCAATCCATGTTAAAGGGTCTTTTTTCTTTAGAGCTGGTTCATTATGTAATGGGGCTGTCCCCCAGGGAGGATATATTCAAAAATATGTTAAATTGATACAAATTCTATGATTAGTGGCAAGAAAAATGATAAAGTCTTGGCTGAAAGTCCAACCCCCTACACTTGAGCAATGGCAAGACGGTCTGAAAAAAATATATTTCATGGAGGAAAGTACAGGTCAACTTCAACTGAAAGCTGATCAGTTCAGTGCATTTTGTTTACATTATATTTTGTTCTTATTTGTTCAAAAGAAAAAAAATTGTAAATTATGATGTGCATTTGCTCAAATAAAAATGTTCAAAAAAAGAAAAAAAACAGTCTCAAGATTTATTCCAAGTCCCATTCCAAGCCCTTTGGAAAGTCTAAGTCAAGGCCTTGTACCACTTTAAACTGAAAAAAAGTATTAAACCTTTTGTAACAATCTGAGCTCAGTGTTTTGGACCATGTTAAAGTCAATTCTCAAATCATTAAAGGGCTTGTCCGACTCAAGTCGCAGATCTTTTGAACCTTGTTGGAGTTTAGTCTATAGTCTTTAGAGAATGAGTCCAAGGGAAGTCTCAAGTCTTTAGTCCAAGTCACTTCTACAATCATTTCAGCAAAAGCTATTAAATATGAGCTGCACAGAGCATGCCACTCAAAACTTTAAGCATTTGCTGACATTGAGGTTTTATTTACCAAATAAATGTTACATTCTGCAGCTGTGTGATTCTCTTTGGTTGTCTTTTTTACCTGTACGGGTCATTGACACTCGTCCGGATCATCTCCATGGCCCTCTCTCTGATCCCACAGGTGCTGATGTCCCTCCTCAGCCCCAGGTCCAGGATCAGCCCCAGGGGGCAGGACAGGGGGCAGGTGATCACCATGCAAACCTGGGCCAGCCAGGTCAAAGCCGGCGCCAGCTGGAAGCCATAACCGGAGCAGATGATGTGAGGAGCCAACTCAGCCAGGAAGAAGATGAGGATGCCACTGGTGAAGAGCGCGGAGACGATGGAGCCGAGCGCCCGGTAGAGGAGGATACCCAGGACGGAGTGTCCCACCACACACAGGAACAGCAGAGAACATGTCTGAGGCAGAGTAGAGACACGTTGGCATGAAGGGAACACAACAGCATTTTCTCCTCTCTCCATAGGCATACAGTACGTTTGAACATTCAGGGTCCTGGGTCTGGATGGAAAAAATCAAGTTTGTACTCAGGGGGACAAATCCACAGGTTAGAAATATTGAGAACAACAATCCCTGATGATGCTAAACGACTTCAGACACACAAGACGTCCACTACTAGAGATTAAATGACTGCAAAGCACAACCACAAAGAAACTTTGAGTGACAACAGAATGATGCAGACCAACTGTAAAGACACACAAACAAAGACACGCAAAATGACTCAAACCAACCACAAAGAGCCTAAACACAACCAAAAATAGACTCACATTAACAATCAAAACTACCACAAAAGAGAGACTGAAGACACCCAGAAAGAGACTGAACCAACTAAAATAGACACAATATTAACACAAATAGATGCTAAAGGACTACAGAGACACAAATACTTCTACTGTTAAAAGCAAAACAAATGCAACGACTCAAAACTACCACAAGGAGACTCAGTGTAACTAAAATGTCCAAAGTACAACCACCAAGAAATTCAGGGTGACTACAGAGATGCAAACTAAAGGCAAAAAGAAACAAACAACAACAAAAAGGTGCAAAATGACTGAAACTAAGACTCAACCAACTAAACATAAATGCAAAGTGAACGCAAACAGATGCAAAATGACAAGAAAAGGCAATATTTCAAAAAAAATAGATGCTAAAAAATTGCAGACACAAGTCCACTACAAGATGGAATAAAACTGCATCACACAACCACAAAGATAATCAGTAACTACAGAGACACAAACCAGCTGCAAAGAGACATAAACAAAGTCAAAGAGATGTAAAATGATTTAAAAAGACCACAGAGTGACTGCAAACAGCCAGTGATGGATGCTAAATAAGTTTGTAAATGTGAAAAAAAACAGTGAATTACTGCAAAGACACACAAAACACCCTCTGTTAGACACAAGACAACAACACAGACTCAAAACTACAACACCGAGACGGAAAGCAATCAGAAAGAGACTGACCAAACCTAAAACAGACACAAAACGTACGCAAGTAGATGCAAAACAAATGCAAAGACAAAACTACAAAAAAAACAGAGGGACTAAATCTAAATCTGAATCCACTACTATCCAGACACAAACAAGAAAAAATAGATCTAAAATGAACCCAAACAGATGCTAAATGATGAAAAAGTAAACAGATAGATCCAAGGACCAAATGCAAAAGTTAAAAACTACCACAAACACACTTTACATTATAAGAGAAGATTTCTTTCTTTCTTTGGAAATCAAAAGTGAGCAAATATTGTAGTAAATTTTCAAAAGTCCTTTCCTTCCTATATGTTTGTATTGGGTGGCAAAAGCACAGGTTATAAATATTTAGGAGCACGTTTCCTTTGCATCACCCCTACAAACTGCACCTAACTACTCCTGCTCCCACAAACTCACCAAAAAGTTCCCCCTCCGCCTGATGGGCTCCAGACGTTTGGCGGCTCGTTTCTCCTCCTCGGAGCCGCAGCTGTGGAGGACGTACAGCTCCACCGGGTCCAGCCACAGCAGGCTCAGGTTCACGGTCCTCAGCAGCCCGCAGACCAGCAGCAGCAGCACGATCAGCACGGCCAGACCCCACGGAGGGATGTACTCTGCGGGCAGACCCCTGTCGGTGTTTACCCGCAGTCTGTCCGGGCCCACAGATGCCCATTCCCCTTCGCTCAGCACGCACAGGTGGTGGTAGTTCTCCTCGCCCCCGGAGATGCTCCCCCGCCGGACCTCCACCGTCAGCAGCCCGCTGTACTCCTCGTCCTTCTCAAAGTTCCCCGTCACCTGGAAGGCAGACTTCCGGCGGTTGGGCTCCTGTCCACACGGATCCGGCGCATCGCCGATCGCCCCGGCCGCTCCGCCAGCTGCGAACGCCACCCACGGCCAGCTTCCATTCACAACCCCGAAGAGACGGAGCTTGAACGTGGCTCCTTCTGGCGCCGAGATGATCCTTTTCTTCATGCACACCAGGCCCGCCGGGTCTTCCAGCCGCAGCCCCAGGACCTGCGGAGCTTCCTGGCTGCAGGCGCCGTACCTGATCCCGCAGAACAACAATATCATCAACAGGAACCGTAGACCTGCCAAGCTGGCCACCATATTGGAATTGGTCAGCCTGGCTGTGCGCGGATCATGTGACTGTAGCCCTGCAGCGGCCCCGCCCACCAGTGGGGTGAAGCCAGCCAATGGAAACGAAGCGGTGCAACTGAACTGCGTGACGGCCATTTTGGTTCAACACAGACAGGCTGCTGCTTTAAATAACGGGCTCAGAGGACATTGTGGATCTGGAACTTCAATGTTTTTGTTTTCAGCAGCGGACTGGAGTCAGAGAGAGTTCACCCGCCCATCTTCATCAGATTTCAACAAGGCATGTATACTGTTCCCACTTCGTGTTGTATACGCAGGGCAGCACAGCATGCATCACTTTGGGCCTCCGCGTAGGGAATGCTGTTTAATTCTACATTGAATAAATAAATGTTAATCCAGAATAAGTATTTAAATATTAATATAAAATAAATAAATCAACATTGATATGAGAAATAATATTAATATAATATCAATCGATAAATATTCACATGAATAAATATTTATATGAAATCAATCAACAACTATGTCATAATTGTGTGTTTTTATTTTGTTGTTTTTTTAATATATATATTTTTAAAGAACTACTTTTATTTTTCTCAGGGAACTGTTCAACTTTTATTTCCTAATGTCAGATTTATTTTTTAGGAGCATTTATCAATGTAATGTTTGAAATGAAATCACTTGAAATGAGACTTTAAAATTCAATGTGTAGAGTGCCTTACTAAATATTGGGCCACAAGACCATTTGTCTAAAAGGTATCACCACAAGCAAAGTTGTTGACTAAAGTCCTGGAGAGACCATGAGACAACATGCTAGCTAGCTAGCTGGGAACATGATAGCACTGGGCAAACAAGCTGCTTTCTACTTCTTTTTTTAAAAAAATAGAAGGGCTATTTACTTATTATTATAGTACAATATATAATAATACAGTTTGATATATAATCATATGTTATTTAGTTTGCAGGACTTTAACTTTAACAAAAAAATTACAGTAGAGGGGGTAAAAGAGGGAGCTAGCTTGCTAATTTTTTGAGTTAGCAATCATCAGCACAGTTGCTTATGGGACAATAGGTTCAGTTTATTCAAGTGTTCATACCGTCCACTGCTGTCTCACAGCTGTCTAAAAACGACGCTTGTTACATGGAACAAGCTATTATGCGACTATAGAGGTTAGATAGAAACCAAAGGTTGTAAACAGTATGCTAGCGTCCTCTATTTTGGACTCTAGAACTGGTATGTATTAGTGTCTTACTTACAATAGTCAAAAGAAATTGCTGCAAAGTTTTACAGTTTTGACTGCATTTTTTTTTTTTTTACACCCAGCAATGCCCTCTTCAATTTCGGTGAAATATGAGCATTCAAGTGCAGTTTTAAAGGGGACCTATTATCATTTTCCTTATTTTCAGTCATATATTTAATGTCACAATGTTGAATATTCTCATTAAATGTTGTAAAACTTTGAAATATTGAGGAAAATGTATGTAGAAAGTAATTAATGTCCTATTTAGACACAAGAACGTAACATTGCTGTCTTCATAAGTCTTTTGAAATTATGACATTCTGTCATTTAGACATTTTAATTGTCATTTTAATGTTCCTCACAGCTTCATTCAGGTAACCCACCACAGTGAGAGCTGATGTGGATCCTGCTGCTGTCTGATGGTATTTATCAAACTCTGTGGAAAAACTCCTACAAACAGCTGAAACCAACAAACTAAACCTCATGTCCTGTTGATGTTTTGTCAAAACATGCATTACATTCATTATTGTATTCTCAAACATAACCCAGCATTAGCATGTTTTCTGTCTTCATCGCAGTAAGACTTTATTAAAATGCACCCTTCAGGTTGTAATAGATGTGCCGTTATAGAGCAAAGTGAATAAGAAACACGTTTTGGGATTTTGTCAGCAAACTGTCTTTTGCACTCTGATGTTTTGGGACCAATGTTAGAACTAAAATGGGCACAAAAGTTCCCAAATTGCTTCACACAACATAAAGGACATTGCTCGTACATGCCTGTATAATAATGTGACAGCATGCAGTTCAGACTGTTGAAAACAATATTAAAATGTTGCTCGGTCCCACCCAGTAAGATTGTGTTTGCAACTTTTACAGAAAAAGTAAGCAGGGTGCCTATTCAGACATTAAAGGGGAAAAAAAACATTTCAGACTGCTGTGAACACTCCAATATTTCAAACGCTTGCTTTTTACTTTCTTTATCTGATGGTCTGCTCCAAGCATAGCCACAGGCAGTATAGTTCACAAGCACTAGATGCAAGCTTCCAGAATCTGGCCAATGATAAGAAAGTGGACCTAGCGAGGAGGGAATTAAAGATACAGGAGCTGAAAATGGCTGGTTTCAGACAGAGGATGAACTGAGTGGCTGCATAAAGGGCCAGTGTAATATAAATGAGAATTTTATTAACTGTACAACATGCAGAGCAACTCTACCAGAATCCCAGGATAAAATATAAACCTGAAAAATGAGCAATTTAGGTCCCCTTAAGACAGACTGAAGCTACTTCACCTTTCGCGCAACACAGATTTTAATTAGTCTGAAGTCATAAAAATCCATCCGTGGTGCGTGATCCCTGCTGTGCACTCATAGTAATGATATATTTGTGCAATAGGTACATTTTAATCTACGCAGCCACAGTTTGAGAGGCGCAAAATTAACAGTGACAACTAGCATCCCTTTCTCACATCGGAGTTCGTTTTCCTGCAGGCACAGAATCAAACAAGAGAGATGTTCTGTAGAGAAATATATCTCAGGTTTATTAACCTCATAGACTTCTTCAAATGCCTTACAGTAGTTATAAAACAGTATATACACATTGCTTTAAGTTACACAATCCATGTTTCGAAGTGCTCGTCCATCTCTGCTTAAACCCTGCAAAACAAAACAAACAAGCAAAAAAAGCCAAGCATGTTGCAGCCGTGTGTGAATATTAAAACCTGCCAAACAGGTATCCTGCAGCTACTGTACACAGCCTGGGGAAATGAAAACGGAATTTATGAAGTCAAGGCCTGGATTTTAAGTATTGTTTTTTTGTATTTTATATCTGTCTCATATCACTGCAACTCTAAAACGTAATAAACACTGTCTGACCTACATCTCTAAACAGGATGATAATAGATGCAATTTACTCTCTTCTCTTTGTTTCACTTCAACACAATTTTCCTGTGAATGACACACAGTGTGGAAAACTCACTCTGCACCAGAAAATATTTAACCTTCGTACAGGTCTAATCATTACACCACTGCAGGGCTAAAAAACAACACTGCAGGAGTCGCTGATAAGCCCCGCTGCCCCCTTGATAACAAAAAAAAAAAAGGGTCTGAATAATAAAAATGCCTTAGCATATCCGGCTGGCAGTCAAAGCCAGAGGAATTTCAATACTTTAACGCAGCGGGAGAGGAGTCGTGATGAGGGCAGGGTGAAAAATAGATGAGGAAGAGTGAGAGGGAAGCGTGGGAGGAGAGAAGAAAGAAAAGGAGAGGTTTTGGCAGAGAGAGAAAAAAGCTTTGGTTATTATGTCTGATGACAAATGAAAACAGAAGAAAGCTACAGAAGATAGCAGGAGTAAATTATTAGAGGTCAACTCTGTGCAATGTTTATTGCTATGCCATGCCTTCCTAGTTAAACAATGGAAATAAAACACATCATCATCTTCTCTCATTATAAATCGAGCTATTATTTTCCAATACGTCTCTCAGCATCTTTTCATGTACAGAGTATTTACAGTAATATAACACAAACAGCAATCAGGAAACTGAACACAGTGTTTCTGGGCAAATTAACCCAATAAGAGCTGTGACTCACAGCTGGAAGCCCGTTTCACAGAACCATGTGCACAAAAAAAACACAAAAAACAAACAATAAATACAATGTTTACAATAAATACAGCCTTACTAAGTAAGTTTTCACATTTCCCAGTACACAAACTGGTAGTCACACAGCCAACCAGTGGCTTCACTGGAAACCAGCAGAACCAATTGCTACATGAGACCTATGAACCAGCAGGCAGGTCTACATTTTCTTGAAATTGACGGTAAGGCTACGTCGACTATACATCTGCATTTGACACACAGGTTTAGATCAGGATCTTTGAGCTCAGTGAGTGGAAAGATCCTGCTGAATAAAATCTATGGTTTCCACACAGTGTAGATCTTCTCCATGGCCAGATTTACCTTTTAGGTGGCCCCTGGGCAAAAATGTGCTGCCGGGCCCCCCATTGTGTCTGGTATTTCTAGTGAATTGCTACAGGTTTGCTCTGGGGTTACAAATCAGTTTTACAATATGAATCATGTAAGCACAAAACTGAAATAATGAAGGTAGGTAGGGGTAACGGTACAAAACATTCAGTTTGGTCAGAAGTCGAATTGATGTATTTGTTTCCTGGAACAAAACCTCTAAAGCACCTGGAACATTTTGGCAGTGCATCAGTTGTTACCTATCAGCTTGTAGTATAGCATGCTAGCTAGGGCTCCGACAAATAACTATTTAAAGTGTAGATAATCTTTGGATCATTTTTCAATCAAGTGATTAGTTGTTGACAAATGTCTTGTTTTGTCCACAAAGATGTTCATTTAGTGTCATAGAGAAGGAAAGAAACCAGAAAACATTCATATTTAAGATGCTGCAATCAGAGAATTTAGACTCTAAACAACAATCAAAGTTGCTGGCCATTCAGTTGATCGTTGACAACTCATAAAATAATCTGTTAACCTTTGCAGCTCTTATGCTAGCATGGTTAGCCTTTATAGCTGTTGACACTGGGATTTGTAGTTTGTCCCAGTGGTTAGTTGTGGTATTGCAATGAAAATAAAACCCTGCGACCCAAAAAAATATTTTCCTCATTGACCTCCATCATTAAAGAGACATCTGTGCAACTGTAAACAAGGTCGGTTTCACCCTTTTTTATTATGAATCCTTAATCCAGCGTGGTTTCAGTCGTAAAAACCTCCCCAGAGCCTTGAACTCCCAAATATGTGATGGAAACATGGTTATTGACAGTATGCGGCATTTGAGAAGAAGATTTTTTAACAAAAAATTCTCTGGTGAACCCAAAACGTACTGAACTGTGTCTCCAAAACCTAAGTCTATCCTGAATCCTGAATTTCGTGTACCGTTACACTCCTAAATGAAGCTCTTTAAAGTAGATTAACAGAAGATAATAAAGCCTTAACAGTTAAGTTATTAAGTATAACAAACTAGTTGATACACAGTGACTCTGGGGTATTCAGGGTCCTCGGGCAGGAGAACGATTTGTCAGGTAGGTAATCCAGTATTCTTAAAGTCATCCGAAAAAGGAGGGATGCTTCGAAATATTCACCTCTTCTGATTTACACTACTCGTAAATTTAAAGTGTTTTCAAATCAGTGCTAGCTTATACAGCAGTTCTCTTTTCAAATAAATATCTTTAACTATATCATCAACAAAATAGTTTATCTTTACAGTCAGTTTCATACGTAGGAAAAAATAGGTAGATTACATGCTAGCAGCTTTAGCATCGGGCTCAGTCCGTCGCCCACACAGGGTGAGGGGTGAGCTTCTTCAGTCGTGTTAATCTCTTTATCTCTCTCCAAAGGAACACAAACAAATGTCCTCCACATGCTTTCTGAACAGGTACAGTATCGTTTAAAGTGTACTTCACATCATGTCAAGTATATGAAATAATCCCTGGTCTGGAATGTCTTACGAGGACAGGGACGGTTTCTACGGGGGAGTGGTGTAAAGTCGAGGAAAGATGTGCAGTGGAATGTTTGTAGTCCATTAAATCTCAACCAGTAATTGTGCTGTGAGTGTTTCCAACATCCTACCCTGATTCTCAGCTTGTCAATCCTTAACCTTGGAGCTTAGCGTTAGCTCAAAGGTTAACAGAGCGGTGAAGTGGGGGCAGAGAGTGTTAGAGCGCTTCCAGATTATGACTTGTAACGTTAAAGACGGACCATCTGACATATAAACGAGTTACTGCTTCAACAAAAGACACCCTGTAGCTCCTGGTTAGCCTGTGGACCTTTTTCCACTGCAGGAACTTGTCTAAGGCCGGTCAGAACCACCGCTGTAGAACCTGGTCCATTGCTGTTTTCAGGGGAGAAGAAAGTACCTAATCCAGGGTAGGTACATCTGAGCGACCCTGAAAAACAGCGTGTTGGTCTAAAGCCAGAGAAGACGATGAGCACCATTTCTCTGTCCTCGTGATGTCCTTATCAAGTAGCAGTCCACCAACCTCCAACATCGCCATCGTCAATATAACATCTGCCTTATAAACCAGATAAAACTACCTCGTCTTTCCAAAGTGGGTAATTAGATCCCGGTCGAACCCCCAATTGTTACAACCCATCTCTGGAGTTATGTTCAGTAACTACTTTTATAATTGTTTTCCTGCAAATTAAGGTTGCAGTCGAAGCTGTAAAATCCTACGCTGCAATGGAAAGGGAACGGCTAAAATGGGCAATTATGTGGCCTCTAGTGTAAATGTTCGGATCACCTCACACCTGCCCCAAATTCAAGCAGTGGAAAAAAAACGCCTTATGTTGTTAATTTGTGAGTCCCAGAGGTGCTCAAAGGTGGCTTGTTTATAGTCTTAAAGCTAAGCTAAGCTAATGGCCTGCTCACTCTAGCTGCTTATTTAGCAGACTGATAGAAAGTAGAGTCAAGACGATGTGAACAGCTCCCAAAAAGTTGAACTACTATAAAAAGATTTCTTTTTTTTTTTTTTGTTTGGTCTAGTTTTTGTTTACCAGACTCAATAAATTTGGGCAGAATATGCAGAAAAGCCCTGAATAAACTTGCAGAGCAGATGGTATTTAATTAAAAAGCAGCCAACTGTGCTGTGAACATACTTCCTTCTGAAAGCCGTGAGCACACTTGTTGCTCTGGGTTATTTGGTCTTTGTGTCACTTGTTGATTATTACACAGTGTCAACCTGGACACATACTAAGCCGGTGGAAATAAATAAGAAGCTCGATGTAATTTCTAACCAGGAGTTTTGACACGTCAATGAATGCACAGTGTAGCAACCAGCTAAGATCCAGTTTGGTCAACTCTTCGTGTCTGAACGTTGGGAAGCTTTGAGCTGGAGCTGGACCAAACTGTACTCACAGTGAGGGATTTTTAGTGGAGATGCTAAAGTGGAAGACAATAAACAGCATTTGTGCAGCTTTAACTTCTGCTACAGCGTTTTCAAGAACCAAAGAAAGCAAAAAATAAATTAAAACTCTAAAATATAAAACAATTCAAATTTCAAATACATATAAATTAATATGAAGTAAAATAAATATTTCAATATCACTCTTGGAAATTAAATAATTTAAAACATATTGCCTTTAGGAGGTAGGCCAGGACGACACCCTCCTTCACATCCCTCATGTTATTGCATTAAAGGACCATACCAGTGTTTCTGCACATTTTAACCACTTAATTACAATTTTGGTGTAATTATAATAAATGGATTGCATGCTTCCGATTTCTTTTTTCTGCACTTTTCGGGCAGCCATTGGTTGTTAATTTTAATTTAAAAGATTGTACGCCCTTTGAATAATTACAGATCTTTTCAGATTTATATTATTGACAATCAATAAATTGTTAAATTCCAAAAAAGTTAAGTAAATCATATATAAGTAAAAGTTAAAATTAAATTTGATTGCTGTTTAAATGATGGATTTATAATTGAGTTTAAATATATAAGAACAAAATATATTTTAAACTTGTGTACACTACAAATGTATTTTTGGAAATGAATTTAGAAATTAAAAAAAGAAAATAAGTGAAAGAAAAAATATTTCCAAATCATAAAATTAAATTAGCTAATAAATAATTCTTTTCTTTCAGTCTCCAAATGATACATTAATAGACACTTGAGTTTTAAAATGAAGAGGACCATTAAAAAAAATATTTACACTATTGTTATATTTCAATATTTTTGTTATTAAATTGTTAAATTCCAGAATTAAAAAAGAATAAAAAATAGATAGTTAAATTAAAATATTCAAGTTATTAGTTTATATTTAGGGTGTAAATTGAATAGATAGAGGGAAAGACGCCTTTAAATTGTAGTGAATTTGGGTAAAATGTACATGTTTAACATTAACTCGGTCTCTTTTTATTGTGTTGTAATGCAGTTCAAGTACACAATGAACCGTTATCTCCTACAAATATTAACATTTGGACAAAAACCTACAGATGCAGGATGAACTTAAGTCTAAAAATGGATTTTCCTCACATACAGAAATTAACAATAGTCAATGGCTCCCTGAAATTTGCAGAAATGTGTCCAGCATGGTTTGCAAACGGTCAGCAGTAATATAAAGTGTCTGGATCTGATTTATGTGGTTTAAAACAGCAGCAACAGCTGTGCGGTAGTTTAACTTTCTCCTCAGCCTGCAGGAGTCATTCAGTACAGTGAATCTGGTCCTTTTGCTGGTAGCTGAATTGACACAGATCAATTCTTTCTGTCACAACTCTGACTTCTTTAAAGCCGCCTCGGTTTCAAAGAACAGAGGAAATCTAACCAAAACCATACCTGCTGTAAATGAAACCTTGATAGTTAACTTTAAAACCTTTGGAATTTTCCCTCTTTGGTAAAATAAAATCAAATTTACAGGTAAACTGAATAAAAACAACTTAAAACTCAACAGTAAACTGTGTAGCAGGGATACAGCACTGATGATTATTATCGTCTTACCAGTGATGAGTTAAAGGGTCAGCTCACATAAATTACCAACAGGAAGCAGGTTGTGAGGTGTCTGCCTCCGAAACACAATGGAAGTAAAAGGGATTGTGTTGTGTTGCTAAAAATACGGAAAATTGCACTTGATAAACAGAAAGTTGAACGGTGGTCTAAATTCTGCTCACTTTTGTCTATAGATGTGTGGATCTATGTTAGCCAAGTAAGGTCATGGGTGTACTTGTATTTTAACTACATGATCACTTCATGGCAACTTCACGGTTCCTTGAAATTAAAACTACACGTCTCCGACCACTGGGGGCAGTGTCACAACATTGCTGCTATTTTCTCTGCCATGATTTTAGCGTGAATAATTCTGTAACCTCCCTAAGAGTCACTGTTGTTTCCATTTACGTTGTGCAAAAGTATGAGTTCACGAGGGACATTTTACAATTTTGGTTAAAGATCATTAAGCACTAATCTGCCCCCTGGTGGATATACTTTTAAATTCCTCCACTGCGTGAAGACGAATTTAAGGGATGCTGCTGCTGCAAAAACACAAACAAGCAAACAAAAATCAAAACAACACATTTTTTTTTCTTTTCGTTAATGTTTGTTTGGCCAAATTATCTTTAAATGTACCTTTTTTTTCAGCAAAATGAGTTTGATTTGAACAGAAATGTGTTTTTCTAGAAACAACATCCAGTTATTTTCAGGTGAACACTTTTTCTAGGAGTTAATTTCATGGGAGGAAAAAGTTCCAATTACATTTTTTTTGAAACTGAGTAACCTGCAGGTTTTAAAATGCAATTTTCCAAAGCTTTGAGCGCAACTAATTTAATTCCATTCACATTCATTGTACTGAGATGGAGGCAGAAAACTCAAAACTTGCACAAAAAAGTATCACCAAGCATGGATGTAACTTGGGTGAGCCTATCCTTTAAGAACACACACATACAGTACACAGCCCGTCTTCATACTGTATCTAACCATACTCACTAGTGTTCCCTGCTTCGTCGTTGTACTCTCGTCTTGGTCTTTTCAGTGTGGGGAGGGGAACATGCAGGAAGGGATACAGGAGGATCTGTGTTGGTCTCTGAGATGTGCTGCTGATCCTCAGCTTCCCTTGAACACAAAAGTTCAGGAGACAACAAGCAGGAACATGAAGTAGTGCCAGTGTGAGTTACATGAGTGAGTGCACAGGTAGTTTCGTTTCCCCAGAGGGACAGTAGTTAGATGGTGCTCTCAGTGTGTGCGTGACTGATGGTGTGGACATGGGGGTGCGGCTGGGGATGGCTGGGCCGGCGGGGGCCCACACAGTTCTGCTGCTCACTGAGCAGAGTGGTGGTCTCTCCAGGCCCGTTCTCTGGGCCGGCAGAGGGCGGGGACTGCTGGGGTTTTGAGGGCAGCGTGGGGTGGGGGTTGAGGATGCACGGCACGGTGCTGACAGAGGAGGGAGGGGTCTGGGAGACGGGGGTGTGGTTGCTGGGAAGGGGGGCGGCTTGGGCAAGAGACTGGCTTGGCCTGCGGTTGGAGGAGGAGGCGCCTTGGGGCAGGGCGCTGCGGCCGCTCGGCGGCGTCGGCTGAGCGTTGGACGGCGGGCGCTTCACGGGAGGCGTGGCCAGCGGCAGTGGTGTGCGTGTCCCCGGTGGCGTCACTGGGGGCAACGAGACAGACGTGTCCAGCCGAGTATGGCTGCCCTCTGGAGACTGTGGCGAGCTGTCCAGCCTGGACGCCAGGAGACCGTTCTGGTACTGGGCACGGGTGATCTGAGGAGGACAAAGCAACAGTAAACACAGATGAACAGTATGTATGGAGGCTGCCATTAATCTCATGAGGCCATTTTCCACTGGCTTAGGTCAGGCTCAGACCATGGGAGCTTTAAAATCCCAAAAGGTTTTGAAATGAGGTCGCATCATAAGGAGAAACTTCACAGAAATGTTTTTAGAATTTTTGTAAAATAAGTAATCAAAGAAATTTAAGAAATCTTTTATGATTTGTGGCATTGTAAGCTTGTTATACTGCACATAAAACATTGCTGAGCTCTCTGTCCTTCTAGCCATCATTGTGCCGTTTCCATAGAGGGGCAGGACTTTATGTTGCAGAGAAAAATGAGCCCACAGTGACTAAAGATGCAACAGGAGCAAAACACTGCTACAAGTTCAAAGTTAATGCTACTCTTGCTACTCCTATAGACGGTTTGTTAGAGTTACCTTGACAAACTGCAGGTCTGTGAGAGCTCGGACGCAGAAGTCCGGTATGTACTGGAATGGGGTGCCAGGGATCTGAGTGTTGCTCCCGCCAACAGAGCCGCTCTCCGGAGCACGCTCAGTGCAGCTCAGAGATGCCGAGCGGTTGAGGTTGCCCCCGTGTGACGGAGAACGAAACTCTGAGGATTTAAAGAAGAGAGTGAGAAAGAGGATGCAAACATAGCAGTAAATAAAAAGGAATGGGAAGAAAAGCAAACACACAGCTAAATGTTCACAGAAGCAGAAATGACTGAAGAACAAATGAGATGAAAACAAGACGACTGTCAGAAAACAGGGAAAAATGATGGTAGTGAGAGAAGTAGTGATGAACACACTGCAACACATGTCACACACACACACTCACACACACACACACTACATGTTAACGTCATACATGTGCCACGAGCGACTGATGGCGTGGAGATGAGTTTGTTACACAAAGATTGCAACAAACATGCCATGCGACGAGGCAAAGTGCATCGTTTGAGCATCTTCTGGCTGCAACAGGACTTTCTGCGCTCAGAGGACGGACCGCTCTCATTGGCTGGTTTTAGTGATGTCATGGAGGGGCTGTAGTCTGGCTTGAAGGGCAGAGTGAGTTTAGTGACAAGGTCAAGTGGGGGGACAGGTGAACATTTGGGTTTAAAGGAGGAGTTCACCATTTTGAGAAACATGCTGATATGCTTAATTAGCTTAGCATAAAGATGGAAACGGATGGGAACAGGTAGCCTGGCTGCACACAACAGGAACAATGTCTGATGCTATGGTTCCCAACATGGTCCACATAGACTGTCAATGCAATTGAAGCACAGTCAGAGTCCAAACGGCCTTCTCCTATTTTGGTCCTGGAACCTTCAGAACACTTTAATGACTGAGTTGTGTCTACCTGGGAGAGTTCGGATGTGCGACTGAGGAGTGCAGCTGCTATTCCGAAACTGGATGCATTTCTGTGTATCTTTGGTTGTTTTAAATGTCACTTTGTTGTCATGCTGAGGTCTCCCTCAAAAACAGGTTATGTTCTGAAGGGATCTTCTGGTTAAATAAAGGTTAGAAGTAAATATGATGCTGGTGGGGCAGCTGGACTAAATACGTGTTGCAGATATAATGTTGTAATTCAAGAGTCCACTTATTCACCTCGCTATACCCCCCCAGGACAAATGATGCCACTTTTACCATTCATGTGTTTCTCATTACACATATTGACAATTCAGCTGCAGATATCTGTATGATCTGATATGTGCAGCTGAGTTACGACTACTAATACTTTTAGTTTTCAGATGTCTACAGTTTAACTGATATTCATCATAATTCTAATTCAAGATATCTAACTCCCCTCAATACAACATATCTGCATTCCCTTTTTCAGATTCTTAAATTAAACAAGACGTAGCCTGTTTGTTATTGAGCTTTAAAGGTTCAAACAGAGCCAGGCTAGCTGTTTCCCTGTTTCCAGGCTTGATGCTAAGCTATCAATCCATCAATCCTCTCAATTAAAGACAGAAAGCAAATCAGCATATTTGTCAAAACTGTTGACCAGAGGTGTGCGGTCCAGCTGTTATAAATGTCACCAGAACATCTGGCTGTGGATCGGTGGTTACAGGGAGGAAGTGGTGACGGGGTTAGAAACTAGAGTCCCATCCAGCAAGCTGTAATAATGTGACTGACTGAAGACGCTATCTGCAGCTTCAACCTTCTTCTACCCTCGGCTTTAACTGAGCATGTGCAACCCTGCCGCTCATTACTGTAATCGTTAAGATGAACTCAGGGTCCTATAAGCAGCTGTTCAGAGCTTTTATTCACATCTCACAGTGTTTCTCTTCAGCTGCTGAGGAGGATCTCCACTGTGGTTCAGAGCTCCAGAAAAAGCTAGCAAGAAAACTTGAATTCATTGTTTTGGTCTTTAAATTATTTTGTATACAATTAACATTTAAGTCATTAATCAAATGGCTCAAATGAAATGAGTTATTGATTTTATGACAGTGTAACTTTAACATGCTTAACTTTAAAACTGTTGATGAGACAATTCAAGTAATTTTATTATTTTTTCACTATTTGAACATGTTTTATGAAAAGTAAGTATTAAATTTAAAGGCTAATTTACTTTAAACAAAAATGCCAGAAACTTGTAAAGACTTGATTCTAACTTCAGTAGTTTAAACTGCTGATCAGACAACACATGCAAATGTAAAGACACCAGCTTTGATTCTGGGACATTGTGATGGTACTTTTTGGTTCTTTAAGATGTCTCATGACCTGGCTACTTCACAAAATGTCCGGAAATCGCGAATAACATCAATTAAATGTTCCCAAAGTCCAAGACAACCACTCTGAATGACTTGTTTTGTTGAACAAAAAGTTCAAAACTCAAAAATATTCAATTTTTTAATGCTACAAGCAGAGACAAGCAGTGTTTTGAGAAGCTGGAAACATCAAATATTTGGCATTTTTATTCTGATTCACAATGAGACCAAAGTAAGTGTAGAAAACTGAGCCAAATCTGAACAGATGATTTCAGATTTTAGTCTGCATTTGCATTCAGGTAAAGTTCTTTGCAGCTGCTTGTATTTTGACAATAACATTCAAGAAAATTAGCTTTTTTGAAGTACTTAAAGAGCACCAGTTTTGAACTATAAATATAGTATATATCTATAAATATAAGACAGTAATGATGATTTGTAAATGCTCATCCTGTTTGTCTAAATGGTCAAAGGTGACTGAAAAAGGAGGAAAAAAGGAGCAACAAGGCAAAAACATATTTTCAATTGCCGAATGCCTTCCCCTCCTGTATAAACTTAAAGTTGAACTTGCTGGAACAGGACTCTGAAGATGATGAAAAAAGAAAAATGGTGAGCGAATCGGCTTTAAGAAGACCCCATCCCTCCCTCCCTCCCTCCCTTTCTGGCCCATGCGAGTGTTTACCTGGGAAACGAGAGAACAGAGAAAACCTCTTAAGAGAGAGGCGTCTTGGAGGGGGGGACGCCACTGACGGGGAGAGAGGAGGGGTGACGGCTGAGAGAGAGGAGCGGGAGGAGGGGCACAGAGAGAGAGAGGTGAGCTGGTTTATCTGTTTGTTCATGTGAGCAGAGCCTCAGTCGCTGCTCATTCAGTCAGTCGGTCCGGACGGTTTCTGATTCCTCCCAGTGTGGTCGTCATCAAAAGAAAACGAGCTCAGCTGCTGATTGGTTGAAATCGCAGCACGAGATCATGATTCACGGACCCAAATGTTGTACAATGAAGCTCATTGAAATTTAAAATGACTGAGCTTCTATCTTCTGCAACACAAAAGTCCTAAAAGACGAGTGTTGCTCTTCTTTAGTGTTAATTCTTCAGTGGTACTGTTGGTTTCTGCTGCTGTTTTTCTGCCTTTTGGAACTTACATTCACACTCCTTCACTTTGTAGATTTAAATCTAAATGGTTAAAAGGCATATTGGCTGTTGTGAATCAAATCTGACAACATTTGAAAGCACAGAGCTTTGAGATTATCTTCCCATTACCTGCCTATGATCTGTGTGGATCACTAGTTAACCTGCTGCAGCTCAACCCATCTAGTGATAGAACAAAAGTCAGCATTTGGGACAATCATTAAGTTTAAGCACCAAACTTACTTCATTAATTTAGCCATCAAAAAGTGATGTTCAGACATCAAAGCTACTTTAAGTTTAGACACTAAACTGGCCACATCCAGGTGTGCAGAGTCTGTAGAAATGTACCCAATAAGACTAGAAGCTGTAATTGCTCCCTGAAGGGGCTTCTACAAAGTACATGAAACAGAGGTCTGAATATTTTAGAACTGAGAAAAATACAGGTTTTCATTTTTAATATTTTTGCCTTTTGGACTATCGAGTGTTAAGTTAAAATTAAAGCAGCACAAGAACGTGTGCAGAGAGAAGGAATGATAGGTGAAGGGTCTGAACATTCCTGGATCCACAGTGCACTTTATTAGGTGTCATAGATGTGTATCTTCTTCTGGTTGTTTTATAATAAGAACCAAGTCCCATTTTTCCAGAAAATATCCTCAAAAAAAGATGCCGTCTTTTTAACAGGTGAAAAAAATACACATCAATGCTCTCTGGCGGAAATAAAATGTGTCAGCTGACATATATGCCACCAAATAGAAGAGGCAAGACTCCAGTCACTTCAGTCAAACCAGTCCAATAAGAATCATAGGACTATAAGAAGAAGCTTTACTTCAGTACATAACAGTTCTATCTGCTCTGATTCGATCACATCTGGTTGCACCAATGGACCAATCTTTACTCTGAGGTTGAAGTTCAGAAACACCAAAGTCACATTTGTATTCTTCTCAGAGACACACACTGAGCGGTCAGGATGAGAAATGGTCGAGCGTTTGACGTAAACATTGAACACTGCAGACACACACTGAGCTGCGTAATGTGCACATGGAGTACAGACAGCAGTTCATCGTGGCCAAAGAGAGAAACGGAGACAGAATAACAGAAGAAGAAAAAAGGAGAGACAGTTCACAGTTGCTGGTTATTTGGATTTCACCACAAACAACAGATCAGCACAGAGTTCAGATTGTGTTTGTGTTGCTTAATAAAGAAAGCAACTCCCATCGTTCATCAGAAACATTTCATTTCTACGATTTAACTTGTAGCATGGACCCTCAGGGGCAGTCTGTGATGCTTTCTAAGATGACAGAAATGTGCAAAACAAGAAAGAAACAGCGTTTAATCAAGAATGTATCTGAGAAAAGATTTAATGCTTTTAGAACTTCAACAAAGAAAGCCTTGTTTTTACCCTTTTTTTCAGATATTTAAATGCAAAATCACATTTAAATTTATCTAAATATAATAATCAAAATGTGTAATCTAATAAACTGTGCCTTGCTGTAATGCATTTCATGACTCAGTTACATTTAGTAGATGTTTAGTGCAGTTCATCTACAGTTATAATAATTAATAACAAAAATGTGTAAAGCGATTTAAGCAATAGTGGTAAACTCACATGGATCAGTATCATATCTCATAGATCCAGACATCGTTTCTACATTTAAGACCTTTTATAATTAAAAATAAGACTTTTTTTTAGACACGTCATCGTCTGAAATGTCATACTGAGCCTGTATGTCAGACAGAAAAGATGCTTTGACTGATGCTGTTTAAGATCCTTTTAAGA